GACAAGTACTATGTAAGGAGGACAAAATGCTGCGGAATGCAAAGGGGAGGAAACTTGAAGAGAGGCTTTGTGGCCCTTGCAGCACTTGAGGGGCTGCAACCAGGGAGGTGTTCCAGGCAGAAGGGAGACAGCATGAGCGAAGGCATAGAGGCAGGAAGGTGACAGTGTGTCTGGGGACCTTGACAGTTTGGCTGAAGGGCCACACTTAGAGATAGACAAAATGTAGGAGAAATCAAAAAAGTGACTTCAAAGCCTAGGGCCCAGGAGGACTTAGGAAACCATCCAGTCCAATTTTTCCTTTTACAGCAGAAGCTAGTTTAAGAAAATTTGCCTAATCCCATAGGCAGGTGTAGGGTAGATTCAAGAATTCTGAGGATCTCTGTGCATTTTTGAGTAGGCAACTGAGGATAAGGAACAGGTAATAGAAGTTCAGAAGAGAGATGTCCAGTGGAGGCATTTCAGGAAGACTTCTCAGCGGAGGTGACAATGATGATGGGCCAAGGGACATAACAGTGAGAGACTGCGATTCCTTCTGGCCACAATAAGTCGCCAGGTTGCTTGTGCATCCCCAGCCTCAAATGCCCACTTCCCTTCTCAGGCCTCTCTGGCTCCCCAGAACTGCCAGTGTAACCATGAAGGAGTAGCTTTTGAAATGATCCTCTTTCATCTTACAGCGGGAAGAGGCCTAAGAGGTCAGAGTACAGCCTCCCCTCCCACACTAGCCATCCTCTTCAAATCGAAAGCTGCCACACTCCTCGTTTAAGCCTTGAGCACTTTCTCCTGATCCCATAATAATCACAGCTAACACTTACTGAGTGCCAGGTTCTATTCTAAGTACTTTACAAGTAGTATTTCATTCCAGCTTCACAGCAACTCATTAAGGAGGGTACTAATATTATCCCCATTTTTCATTTGATGAAGCTGAGGTTTGGTTGAGCCATTTGCCCAAGACCTCATAGCTGGTGAGGGGCCACACTACAAGTTAAACCAGGGCTCCTCTGGGTTCAGAGCCTCTGCATCTGACTGCTCCACTGCCCTGCTCTGTGCTTCTCTACCACTCATTTTCCTCCCTCCCAACCCACCCAAGACCTTGGCCTTTTCCTCTCCTCTAGGTCTCTCTCTACACAAGCAGAGGCACATCGAGCCGGAAACTGAACACCTAGCCAAGGAGAAAGAGGGGGCTCTTGACCACATCGATTCACAGATTTCAAAGTGCTTTCTGTACATTTTCTTCTTTGTGCCTTTAAGACAGCTCTATAAGGTAGGATTGAAATGATTTTATTGTCATCCCACAGAAGAGGAAATGGTGACTCAGAGATGTGATATGCCTGGTTCAATAGCCAGAGGTACCTTGGATCTTCTCTGACTCTACCTCACTCCCGCTTCCCCAGACTGGCAGCTCTTCCCTCTTGGAGTCGGGCCTGAGTCAGATACTCCCTTAAATGAGACAAGGAAGAGGCCACTAGAAACCTTAAACACAGGAACCTGCTTCACTGCCCCTGAGTGCAAGGCCCAGCTGTCCTGCTGTTTCGGCCACGTTCACCAGTGGGGCCTAGGGGCCTCTGGAACTGACCACGAGAATGGTGGGGGACTTGGGTGAATAATTGTGGTTGAAGAAGTGGCTGGAGCAAGAACCCACCCTGGTCCCCTTTGAGGAGGGGTGGCAGGTAGGGTTAGGAAGAGAGATGTCCTTGGCATTTAAATAGAGGAAGCAGCAAAAGCTTGATCTCTAAATCTTTGATCTCTAAGTCAAAGAGTGCTGGTCCAATCATGGCTGGACTGGAGCCCTCTCCGGAGCTGGCGGCTCTGTGCATGAGGATGACCCACTGGGAAAGCACTGGGGCAATAGGTAGCAAGACAGAAGGAGGCTCTTACCAGCAGCTCCTAGCCCGACTTGGAGGAATTGCTCCCAAGGAGGCAATCCAACAGAAGACAAAAGATATTTGCCTCAAGATGTTCCCTGTAGTGTTAGTAAGGCAAAAAACTGGAAAGAAAAAAAAAAGCTAAGTACCCAGTGAGCTATTCTGGCAATCTACCCAGTGGATTCTCATGATGGCGTGAACAGCATGGAAAAGGTTCGTGGCGTAAAGTTGACTCTACATCACACTGTGTCCCCTGAAGGATGACTCACGGGAACAATCTCCTTTGGTCCCAGTGCCAGGAAATTCTGTGTTTCTCTAGGCCGGCTGCCTTGCTTTTATCTCAAGTTCTACATATCTGCTGGCTGACCATGTTTCCCTTTTAGCTTTGACTGTCAGGAAGCTCCAAATCAAATTTATGGCCCATCGCTCACACTGTATGACGGAGGTTTTGCAATCAATCATTCCCGGCTTTATTTTCTTTCCTTCTTCCCACTTTCTATTTATTAATAATCTTGTTGTATTGTATGCTATATTCGTCAACTACTGAAGAAAAATATTTTTGGAGTGGAATGGGGTAGAGAAGAGAAGGGAAAGAAATGGAAAGAGAAAATTAGATGAAAACGGCTGAGAAGAAAATGATTTACAAACATTGCCTTCAGATTCAGCTGAAGAGCAGTAATTCTGCTGGTCTCTGATAAATATGAGTTGACACCTTTAACTGGTAATTTTAGAAACCATTCCAGTGATTGATAAAACAGGAGAATGCAAAATAAAACAATGAGATGTCATTTTCCACCCAGAAAATTGGCAAAAATGAATGCTGATAATCCCTATGTGGGCATGATTGAGCACTGACAGACTCTTCTGTGTACTGAGAGGGTGTGGACTGGCTAATCAGGGTGACACTTGGCATGTGCAGATGCACATACATGTGACTTGGCAATTACACGCCTCAGTATCTAAAACGTGGGGGAAGTATGGGCACAGACTACTTAGAAGAAAATGTTTGTTTCAGCATTGTTTGGCAAAAATAAAGAAACATTCTAAATGTCCTCAGAGAAAGAAAAGTAAATTGTGGCCTAAGCTCACGATAGAATATTATACAGCAATGAAAAATAGATAAATCAGAGCTACATGTCCTGCTACGGACGAAACTCAGAACACATGTTGGGCAAAAACGGCAAACTGAGAAAGGTATATAAATTTGATTCCATTTCTATAAAATACCAAGTGACAAAAACCATATCATACCTAGAAATACCAGGTGCTGTAGGCATTAAAAAAAAAAAAGATCCATATCATATCTTATTTACGAATCCACATGCATGTCTTAAGGGTATAAAGACGTGAATGGAAACAATAATACCCGAGTCAGGATGGCAAGAAGAGGAAGAGGAGGTGACCAGGGGAGGGTTGCCATGGGTGCTGGATACACTCACATAGATTATATTATTATTTATTCTCCTGGGTGTGACTAAAACAGTTCATTAAAACAAACAAATAAAAAATGGTGTGAACGCTGTCATTGCAACTGGGTAAAACATTCTGGCTGCATCAGGACAAACATGGGAAGGAAATGTGTGATGAACTATGGTATTGGGGAGGTAAGAACCTGAGTGAGTATAACACCAATGTCCTGGTGCTTCGTGAGAGGATGCTAAGTCATCAGGCTGGCTGCGACATAGCCTCTCTTGCAGGCTTCGTGGTCCAGGGCTCCACCGGCGAGTTCCCCTTCCTGACCAGCAGTGAGCGTCTGGAGGTGGTGAGCCGCGTGCGCCAGGCCATGCCCAAGAACAAGCTCCTGATAGCCGGCTCCGGCTGTGAATGTGAGGCCATAATGCTCTGGGCCCTGGGGGCGGCTAGGGTAGGGCTCCTTGGCCCTGAGGCTGGGTTTAATCTACTTGCTCTGTCTCTTCTGCACCCCTTGCTTGTCCCAGGGTCCTCGATCAGTCATTCTTTCTCCTGCTTTCACCCTCCATGGCCTGTGAGAAAGACCTTCTTTTTTCTTGCAGCTACTCAAGCCACAGTGGAGATGACTGTGAGCATGGCCCAGGTGGGGGCTGATGCCGCCATGGTGGTGACCCCTTGCTACTATCGTGGCCGCATGAGCAGCGCTGCCCTCATTCACCACTACACCAAGGTGGGTGTGAGGGGCGGGAATGGGTTTGAGGCCTGGAACCAAGAGGAGGCTGGATGAGGGGGAGACTTTGCCTGGGAAAGGAGACAGAGAAGCTGGGAACGGAGTGGTGAGCCTACTTCCCACAAACAACTGCTCTGGGAAGGGGAGAGATGCCACTGTGTACCAGCTGTGTGACATTGGGTTGCTGCCCCAACAGAGCTGTGTTGCTATTTCCTCCCCTCTCAAAAGGGAGGTCTCTTCCTCATAGGGTTGTCGTGAGGACTAAATTTGATCAAAACATAAAGGACTTAGGACTGTGCTTGGCACACAGAAAGCACTCACTGAATATTACCCACTATTACTGCTTACAGGCAGGGCATATAGTGCTGTGACTTCTAGTCTAGGAGGTGGCCTGTCCAGGGAGCCCAGGCCTGGACTCGGTGGTGGACGGCAGTGCCTCAGGCTCCTTGGACCTGGGTAGCTGCTCTCTCTCCTTTCTGCATCCCTCAGGTCGCTGACCTCTCTCCAATTCCTGTGGTGCTGTACAGTGTCCCAGCCAACACAGGGCTGGACCTGCCCGTAGACACTGTGGTCACGCTTTCCCAGCACCCGAATATCGCTGGCATCAAGGACAGCAGTGGTGATGTGAGTGACAACAGTTCTTGGCTGAGGCACCTTCCTCTTTTCTTTTGCTACCAACTTTAGGGCAGCTGTGGGACCCGCTTCAGTCCTGGGCTCCTGTTTGGGTTCTCGCTGTCATGTGGGCTCTCAGGGCTTCATCTCTAATTTGGAGCATGGACTGCCGAGGCTCTGGGCCCCACTCATACCCGGTTTGCTATTGCAGGTGACCAGAATTGGGATGATGGTTCACAAGACCAAGAGGCAGGATTTCCAGGTGTTGGCTGGATCGGCTGGCTTCCTGTTGGCCAGCTATGCCCTAGGTAGGCCTCCCGCTGCTCTCATAGTGTGATGGGTGACCCAGATACACCCAGAAAGGTGGGGTCTACTGGAAGGGACTGTGAGGGCCAGGGCTGTGTATGTAGCTGGACTTTGCTAGCCTACCTGCTCCAAAACCTCAGAAGTCCAGCACACTGCTTGCTTGTCTGAACACTGGGTGCTTGTGAGTGACCCCTGTTGGGCAGAGGAGGGTGTCTGGCTGCTTACAACCCTTGGCCTGTCGTAGGGATGCCTATGATTTGCTCTAAGTCCAGAACCCCTTGCTTAGTTGGCAAATTTAGGTCCTCTAACCTCACTTTGTAAATCCTCTGAGGCCTTGGGGTCCTCCCCTCCAGTCAGCAGTCCATTTTCCACTCTCCCTGGTCCAGGCCAGAATGGTCAGAACTGCGGGGTTGGTCCAGGGACCTTTAGCTGCCTGATCAGATTCTGTTCCAGTCCAGGAATGTCACCATTAAACCAACTGCTCTTGTCTGTTTGTGGTCAAGGTCCTTGGGTTCAGGTTGGATGTGATCTCAGGAGGGGCAGGGAGGGTGAGGGAAGTTCCTGCAGCTGAAGCTCCAGTGAATACAGATGCGAGTTACTTTTCCCACACTGTAGGTTCTCTCTGGTCTTTGCAGACTTTGGCTTGTTGTCTAGGTCCTTGCACATCTCTCCTTTGTCCTGTCGCAATCTCTAAAGTGCAGGAGACCCATATACGCCTTGTTCTTGAAAGTAGGATAGATGGAAAAAGCACAGTCTGGATGCCCTATGGATCTGAGCTGGAATTTCAGCTCTGCTGTTTATTCACTGAGTATCACTGGGCAAAATACTCAATCTCTCTGGGACTGAGTCTCTACTTGGGAAAGCAGAGAGATGTTATGAGGATTAGAGAGCATCAGCCCCAGGTCTGCCATAGTGCTTAGCACATAGTAGATATTCAATAAATGTCAGCTAGATTAGCTCATTCCAAATTGCCTACTCTCTCTCCACTCTTGAGACCACTTAGGAACACTCCTAATTAGACTTACCATTTCGCTCGCAGGCCGGTAGAAGTGGCAGGGTCCTCTGAGATCCCAGTCAGCCTATTTTCCTTGCCCAGATGAGAACGAGGACCAGAGGGTCTATGACTTGTCCAAGTTCACGCAGCTAATGGGAGGAAATACCCCATTTCCTGACTGTGTCCAGAGCACTTTCCACTCCCACATCCTACCCCTGCTGCTGTCTCAGGCTGCATTTACTGGGGAGAATAAGATTTCAGAAGAGCAAAGGCTTCTCATCCACTCCACCCGCTTCCAGGACTGGTAAGTCAGGGGGCTAGTGGAGTGTGGAGGTGTCAACTGGCAGTTGGGACTTTACTGTGGGGATAGAGGTGAGTGCAAGAAAGGAACTGTCCTTGAATTAGCCTTCAGACTCTGCTCCCTGCCCCTCAGCCTGAGAGATTCTACTTGGAATATGCTGGCAGCTTTTCTCTTTGTACTCCGTGGACTCACAGAGCGTGCCTTTGATGTGGCCAACCATGGCATAGAAATCCACATCCTAGCATCCCAGAACGAAGGGGTGCTGGACACCAGGGTCTGTAATTCTCTTTGAAAAGAGGCTCTGGCTGACGTTCTGCATCTTATTCTGGGGCAGGAGCTGTGGGGGGCGTGTGTGCCCTAGCCAATGTCCTGGGGGCTCAGGTGTGCCAACTGGAGCGACTCTGCCTCACAGGGCAATGGGAAGATGCCCAGAAGCTACAGCACCGCCTCATTGAGCCAAACACTGCGGTGAGCTCCCAGCAATGGCAGCAAAGGGCAAGGGGGTGGTGACCTATGTACTCTTTGGAGCAGGAGCTATGGTGGGCACAGGGGTCCCCAGTCAGTCTCTTCCCTTTCAGAAAATCCTTTTAGAGAACATTCTAGTGTGGGAACTTCTTGTGCCTCCCCACAAAATCTTGACTTCAGATAAGCTTGAGCCCCATTGGTCCTCAAACTTAAGTGTGCATTAGAATTCATTTAGGGAGCTCGTTAAAATTATAATCCTTTTGGCCCAGGAATATGCATTGAGACTGGTAGCTGTTGTGACTGTGACGTAAGTAACCCCGGAATCTTACTTAGAGAGGGGCCAGGTCCTGAAAAAAACGAATTATTGAGAGAAGTAAGGGAGGAGTTGGAAGGCTACAGGTATTCAGAACCCAGATTTCCCAGGAGAGTTCTGTCTTCAGTCAGACTGTGTACCCCAGTTCTGTTCTGGGCAAGTCAAGAAGAGCCAAGATGGAAGGCCTCTCAAGTGCCAGACAGTGCTGTGCAAAGCCATATTGGAATCTGAGGCAAAAAGGAAAATGTGTGTCCCTATAGACATGTTTTAAATTAAACTTTTTGAGATCATTGTAGATTCACACGAAATTGTGAAAAATAATACAGAGAGATTCCATGTATCCATTACCCAGTTTCCCCCAGTGGTAACAATATTACAATCAGGATTTTGACATTGATATAGTCAAGATACAGGCTATTTCCATCACCACAAAGATCCCTCATGTTACACTTTATAGCCACACTCACCTTTTGCCCCCACCTCCTCTTTAACCTATGACAACCGCAAAGATGTTCACCATTTTTATAATTTTGTCAGTTCAAGACTGTTATACAAACAAAATCAGATAGTCTACAACCTTTTGAAATTGTCTTTTTTCACTCAGCATAATTTTCTGTAGATTCACCTAGGTGTTGCATGTATCAATAGTTAGTTCCTTTTTATTGATGAGTAGTGTTTCATGACATGGCCATACCATAGCTTGTTTAACCATTCACCTTTTGAAAGACAGCTGGTTGTTTCCAGTTTTGGCTATTAAAAGCTACTGACATTTAAGTGTAGGTTTTTGTGTGACCACAGATTTTCATTTTTTTGAGATAAATACACAACTACTGAGTTAAATGATGATTGCATGTTTTGTTTTTTAAAAAACTGTCAAACTGTTTTCCAGAGTGGCTGTACCATTTTACATTTACTTCAGTGTAAATGTATGAGTGATCCAGTTTCTCTGCATCCTCACCAATGTTTGATGTGGTGACCATTTTCTATTTTAGCCATTCTGATAGGTGTGTAGTAACATTTCATTGTGGTTTTAATTTGCATATCTCTTATGGCTAATGCTGTTGAACATCTTTTCATGTATTTATTTGCCATCTATATATAATGTTAGATGAAATTTACATTGATTTATGTCTTTTGTCCATTTTCTAATCGAATTGTTTGTTTTTTTACTGTTGAGTTTTGGAAGTTTATTATATCTTCTAGATACTAGTCCTTTGTCAGATATGTGGTTTGCAAATATTTCCTCCTGGTCTGTAACTTGTTTTATCAGTCTCTTAATATATCTTTTGCCAAGAAAAAGTTTTTAAACTTTGATAAAGTCTAATTTATCAATTTTTTTATGTTTATGCTTTTGACATCAAGTCTAAGAACACTTTGCCCAGCACTAGATTGTGAAGATTTTCTCCTATTTTTTTCCCAAAAGTTTGATGGTTTTGCATTTTATGAGTCTGACTCTTTTTGAGTTAATTTTTGTATAAACCGTGAGCCTTAGATTGAGATATTTTTCCCCCCTATATCCACTTGCTCCAGCAGCATTTGTTGAAAAGATGATCTTTCCTCCATTGAATTACTTCTGCACCTTTGTCAAAAATCAGTTGGGCATATTTGTGTAGGTCTATTTCTGGATTCTCTATTCTTTTCATTGATCTATCCCTCTGCAATACCATGCAGACTTGATTACTCTAGGTATATCATAAATCTTAAAATTAGGTAGACTGATTCTTCCCACTTTGTTCTTTTTATTTTCAATATTGTTTTAGTCTAATTCCTTTGCCTTTCCATATAAATTTTAGAATAATATATATCTATAAATACCCTAGCTGAGATTTTGATAGGAATTGTCTTAAACCTGTATACAAATTTGGGGATAATTGACATTTTTACTTGATTGTCTTTAAATCGTTAAATGTAGTGTGTCTCTCCATTTATGCAGAACTCCTTTGATTTATTTCGACAGCATTTTGCAGTTTTTGACAAACAAGTCCTATACAGGTTTTGAGAGATTTACACCTAAGTGGCTCATATTTTTTGAGTGATTATAAATGGTACTGTACTTTTAATTTTCTATTCATGTGTTCATTGGTAGTAGATAGAAACACGATTGATTTTTTCATGTTTATCTTGTGTCATATGACTTTACTGAACTCATTTATTAGTTGTATGAATGTTTTGGTAGATTCCTTGGGATTTTCTACATAGACAATCATATCATCTACAGAAAGGGTAAGTTTTATTTCTTCCTTTCTGGCCAATATGTATTTGAGTTCCTTTCTTGCCTTATTGTACTGACTAGAACTTCCTGCATGATGTTGAATAAGAGTGGTGACAGTGGACATCCTTGCCCTATTCCTGATCTTAAGGGACAACATTTAGCCTTTCACCTTTAAGGATAATGTTAGCTGTAGTTTCCTATAAGTGCTCTTTAACAAGTTGGGGATGTTCCCCCTGCATTCTAGCTGAAAATCATGACTGGGTGTTAAATTTTGTCAAATGTTTTTCTGCATTAAAATGATCATGTGATTTTTGTTTTCCTTTTTTGCCCATTAATGTGGTGGATTACATTAGTAATTTTTGAATTTTTACATCCCTAGACTAAATTCCACTTAGTCATGGTATATAACTCTTTTTATATATTGCTGAATTTCATTTGCTAACATTTTTATTAAGAATTTTTCTGTCTATATTCATGAAGGATGTTGGTATGTAGCTGTCTTTTCTTTCTTTCTTTTTTTTTTACTGCTTTAGTCTGATTTTGGTATCAGGGTAAAAATAGCTTCATAAATCAATTGGGAAATGTTCCCTCCTCTTCTATTATCTGGAAGAGACTGTGTAGAATTGGTATTAAATCTTCTTTACACATTTCTTGGAATTCTCCAGTGAAACCATATGGGCCTGGAGATTTCTTTTGGGGGAGAACTGGGCTCTGTATTAGGTCTCTAATGATACCATCCTGGCTGGAAAGGGTGGGAGTGCCTCCTTACTTCTCCCATGTGGCCTCTGCTGATGTCATGAGTGTGCCTTTGGGGGATGGGCTCCTTAAAGGTGGGCAGTGTGAAAGCTGTGACTCTTCTCACTAGGCCACTTCTGAAACCATCTCTAGTGGATGGGGAGAGACACTCTTTAGTATTGAGTTTGGGGATAGAAGTTCTGGCTCCCAATTCAGGCTTACTGGCCTGGATCAGGGTGGGGGCCACAGTTTTTTCAGTGGGGGCTGGCTGGAGTAGGGTGGTTATTGTTTGAAAGTTTTCCATCTTGCTAGGCTGCCACTTTTTTGATCCCTGGCTAAAGAGGACAGACTTTTGTTGGAGATTTTATTGTCTGTGTCCATTGGCATTTTAGGGCTGCTGGTTCCTTCAGCTCCAGGTCAAAGCCAGTCAACCAACCACTGTGTTGTTCCTTGGGTCCTGAGGTCCCCAGTCAGTCTTCCTTCTCTTTACCTTTCAGACTCTTCTTAAATTTGTTTTGATGTAATGTCTAGGGGTTTTTAGTTGTACTGATTGGGAGAAATAGGGAAAAGTACATCTATTCCATCTTCTTGGAAGTGGAAGCTCTACCTAGTTTTCTAAATGGTGATTCTCCCCCACCCCAAGAACATTAAAGTAGTTGAAAAAAATATTGAAAAATTTAAAGGTAGGTATATTAAAACTCAAGCATTAGTTTTAAATATTTTATCTATACCAAGAACAATTTATTGTAATTTTACTTCCCTGGCTTGAATGGAAGCACACTCATCAAAACAATTTTTCTGCAAATCTACTTCAAGAAAAAAAATCAGTCATTAAAAAAATAGACAAAACATGTATATAGGGGCCTTATTGCCTTACTTACATGATTACTTTGCCTCAGACTACAATATGGCAGGGCATGGCTCTGTTGGATCCTGTTTTTATTTAAAACTTTTGATATTTTGTTCATTATGAATATTTTTGCATTGGTTTTGATTTTTTTTTAAAAAAATATTGCATTAACTATTTACCGTGATGAATGAGTTTTTTGGGATCTCCTTAAGTTTTGCACTGGAGATGATAGTCCCAGACTGAGCTAGGCAATACTTTTTGTTTGGGTAAAGGGTGGGCAGGCTCCAGATCTCCTTCACAGTTTACATCTTTACCTCAAAGGGGCAGATTAACTCCAATTTAGAAAAAGGACAGCTGAGGAGGCAAGCACGAGTCTCCTTGGATGAGAAGGTTCTCCTGGGATGGGATGCTCTATAAATAGGAAGTAAGAACTGTAGAAATGAGGGCCTTTCAGCTGAGCCCCATCAGGGCACAGGCTGTATTGGACATTCCACTGGGGTGAGACCTCTGCCCTCCCACTCCCATCCATGTGCAGACAGAAGGTCCCAGAATCTGCATACCACCAAGACAGGACATGAAGTAGATCCCAGGGCTCTCGGGGTCTGGTCTCACAGTGACATTTTTCTCTTGTGACACGGGGTAGGTGTTGCTATCACTTCATTTTACATGTGAAGCAGCTTGGGCTGCCCCTTGGGAAGAGAGGATTCTTTCTGCCGTCCAACTCTCTGCATGCCATCCTGCCTTACCCTTCACTCTGTGCCCCTTCCTGTGCCAGCTCTGGGCACATACTCAGGAATTCCTGGGACACCTCTTTGCTGCCTGGGCTATAGGCTCAGCCTCCCCAAGAGCAGCTTGATGTCACCCAACTTTCCTTCCCTGCTTGAACATAATGTCCTTCCCTGGCCTTCCCACCCAGCCAGCCTTCTGCTCCTGCTATATTTAGGACTTTCCAGTCTTTACCACCAAAGCACTAGATCTTTTCTCAGGGTTGGAAGAGGGGCAAATCAGAGATCTTCAGGCAACTATGGTGGGAGAAAGCTTTTCTCTTAGGTACTTCTTGTGTCCATGCTCTCCCCTATGTCTTTCCCACCCTACTCATTTTGGGTGAATTGCCCAGGTTATTAGAACACCGTGGCTGGCTGGGGCCAAGCCTAGGAGGAGGCTTGCTAAAGCCTACTGGCCTCTAGTGGTGAAGTTATTAGTCAATCATTTATCGGGTTCCTAACATTTTTATCACAACTTTTTTAAAAATTATTTTTATTCTTCATGAAGCCCATACTTCCAATGTTTTACTTTCTCTCCAAATAAAACTTTATTAAGTAATGATTACTCTTTTCGTTTTTAGGGAGTCGAAGATTTAGCTAACACTTTTGATCAGTATAAAATAACCAGTTGCTATGTTAAAAGCAAAGAAACTTGATGCTTCATTTTCTGTAAAACTCCATGCATGCTTTTAAATTATGACAATAGCCTTAATGTCCCTCATGACAGTGGAAAAGACTTTAGAGGTCTTGTTATCTATCCGGCCCCCTCATTTTTTAGGCAAGAGAACTTGTTCAGAGCTAATAAGTTAATGACAGAAAGTTATACAAAGAGGTTGGTTATTGAAACCTCTTTGGACAATGATGCATTGGTTTTCCACTGAGAGCACTCAGAGTTGGTGTCAGGAAGGAGCTATGGGGTGGTTGGGGGACCCTGCTATAGGACCAGTAGAGGTCTGGGCTGTGCCTGACTTCCCAGGCCTGCTGTGCCCATCTGGTTCCAAGGAACTGGGCTGCAAACCGGTGATGTCCTAGTGCCCCGACCCACAGGGCTGCTGCCGTCTCCCATCACAGAATGAGGACTGAATGCCACTTTCCTCTCTATAGAGTGGATGTTTCTCTTAAAATCAAAGGAAGTGCCGCCTTCTTTTTTTTTTAATTACTCTATTTTTTAAAAAATTGTATTTTATTGTTAGTTTATTGTATACAGTACACTGGTTAGACATTTATATAGTTTATAAAATGGTCCCCCTGATTGTTCTTTCTCTCCTCTGAAGAGGTGCCTTTTTAATTTGAGGTTTTGGCATTGCATTCTCTACTGCTAGGCTGCCTTTTGGCCTCTCAATCTGGATTCCTAATTACTTTATCAGGGAGGACAACTGTAACCCTAACTTTCTGAAAGTGACACATGTCTGGGTCCTGGGTGTACCTGTGCCGGGATTCCCCAGTATCTTCTGACATGCCCTGATTCTCAGGTGACCCGGCGTTTTGGGATCCCAGGGGTGAAGAAAACCATGGATTGGTTTGGCTACCATGGAGGCCCCTGCCGGGCGCCCTTGCAGGAGCTGAGCCCTGCAGAGGAAGAGGCGCTACGCATGGATTTCACCAGTAATGGCTGGCTCTGAGGGCAAGTGGGGGCATGCCCAGCCTGAGCCCATCTCAGCTCCTGCCTTGCACCTGCAGCCCGAAGAGGAATAGGAGGGGATGAGGGTTCGAGTCTCCTTTTCCTACTTTGGTCCTCCAGGTGCCTCTTAGTAAGCATTACCATGCACACTCATTTCCTATTTTCACAGCACTGTGACATTAGATTTGTATCTTAAACTCTGGGTCACTAGAGAATCGCCCATCCCTCTCCTGTGCTTTCCTATGCCCCAAGACACATGAGCCAGGAGCCAGAGGGAAGTGTAGGGGGCAGCTGGGCACAGGAAGGCTATGTGTTGGAAGGGAGGACTACTTCGACTTGAGGATACAAGCCTGAGTCTAGCACAATGCAGAGGGAAGCCAGGCCTATACTAAGAACCCAAGCTCTCTTTCCAGGGGATGTGGTAGAAAAATGTCACTAGTCTTTGAAAGGCCCCTGAGATGCATTCTAGCCAGTGCCCTTTCCTAAGTCCATTTTGATTCCTCATATTCTTGTCTCTAGCTTTGATCTCAACCATTGAGTGCACAGACACAACCAGAATTGGTAAATAATGACACCTGGTGGATAAATGTTACATTCTAGAAGACTACTGTAGTCAACCCAGGTCTGAAACATTAGGGAAGGGGGCTTGGCCTGAGACAGGATCATCTTCTTGCCTATAGGCATTCTGCTTTTATTGTTAAAAACAATTACTTTGTTATTGCAATAAAGTTTAATAAGTTTAATTAGTGTGGTTTTGTATAGATTAACACTCCACTGCTACGCAGATCTTGTTTCCTACCCAGATGTCAAGAACCTACCTAAAGGCAAATTTAGCTCTCAATGTCTACTTTTTCCCAGCTCTGAGAGAGGCCCTAACAATACTGAGCAAACAGGTATTAAATCAGAGGTGGCCTAGGAAAATATTTACTGAAGTTTTAAATGGGACAGGCAAGAGGCAAAAAGGTTCAATTGACGTATTTAGAAACACTTAGCTAATTAATTAATCAAAAGGTTAAACCTTATTCAGTGTTATCTGACAAGTGGCAGAAAACTCAAGATGAATTCTTTAAAAATTACTCTGATGAAAAAGAAAGGTAAACAGGTTTCTTGTTTAGGGCAAAGGCTAGAGGGGAGAATATAAAAAGTAATATAAAAAGTATCAATCTTCAACTGAAACTGGGCATCTGGCTGGCACTGAAACTTGGCACTTAGCATCTAGAACTCTTCTCACAGGCAACTTCTAGAGGATATGAACTCAGAGGAGAATCAGGTTTAGCAATGAGGCAAAAGGTTAGGTCTAGGGAGGCAGGCTAGTGTACTGGTGGTACAGCGCTCAGCCCCTGGGCTTACATAAGATTCTGGAAAAGCCCTGAGCCTCATCTGTAACATGGGAATAGCAATAGCACCTTTCTCCCAGGGCTGTATAAGATCAGGCATGTAAAAGGGCTAGCCTGGCAGGGGAATGTGTAAAGAAAGGAAAACCAGGCAGGAGGGACTTACCTAAGGTAACCCGGCAGGGGTGACAATTACTGGTCTCAGGACTTGGGCACTCAGACACTCAGGATGAGGGGAGTATAGTGGAAAATGCTTTGATATCAGAAAGACCGGAATACAAATCCCACCCAGCTCTGCTACTTACTAGTTTTGGCAACCTAAGCCTGTCTGATTTTTTTTTTTTAAATGCTCTTACCCTGCAGAGGTTTTGAAAATTAGATGATATTATGTAGTAAAGTGTGCAGTGTCAGTTCCAAGCCCCCATCTGTGGCTAATTTTTAGAAACAGCGAATGAGTTAATATTCATGAGAAAGCAGAGCAAGAAAGTCAAGAAAACTAAATATAGGCAGTTCTGGTGATTTGTTTATTCCTCATAAACACTTGTTTCTACAGTACAATTCAGAAAATAAATAGAGGCACATGGTTATAATTTCCACCACAATATGCTGCTGTTGAGGAGACATTCAGTGTGAGGATAAGAGACTGAAGGTGGGGTTGGACGTGTTTGGGTTACAGGGTAACTGGACCATGATGAACTGTGCAGGGATCCTATTGGTTAAGATCTGGTCCCCAGATCTTGATGGCCAAGGCTCATGGTGGAAGAGTTACAGTGAACCAAATGCTCTTTTAGTTCACTGTGGTCCTAGAATGGGTCCAAGTCTATTTAAGCTACAGGTCCACTGGGAAGGAGCTATGTCAGCCCTAAGGATACAGTTCACTCCATGGTAGGGCCTGAAGTGGCTCAAGGATGTCTGCCCTTTGCCCTGGAGTAAGTAATAAACACAAGTTTTAAGGTGACTGCTTACGTAAGTTTCTTTCTTGACTACCCCATAAAGGGATCCTATCCCATGTCTAAGGAAGGAGAGAGGCACGAATGGGGAGTATCTGTTGGAACTCAGGTAAAGAAGACAGCTTAAGTCAGGTAGGGGGAAAATAGCACTCTTACTTAATCCTGCAGGGGGAATAAGCAGACACGAATACTCGTCTGGTCAGACAAAGTGGAGCCTGGAGCTATGATGCCAACCAGCAGCAAATGAGGGGGTAACAACATACAATAAAGCTCTGGCCTTGACTTTCACTGGACTGCTATACTGTCTAAGCCACCCTTATCTTTTTCCTTATTTCTCCAGGGTAGGACAAAGCACACTGGCCCTAATTTGGAGCTAGGACCATCTGCCCCAAACATAGGCAGAATGAAGAGATTCTGCATCATTTGTCAGAAAATGAAGTAGAAGGCAGCAGCAGGTCGGCACTGGGTAACCCAGCATGTTAGGGACGGACAGTACCAACAAGCGAGACAAGGGAAAGACAGAATTGGTAGCCACTGCTGCAGGGCCTGCAGAGTCCCTGGAACTTCTCTGTGATTGAAACCCTGACTGGCAGGTGAGGAGACACAGCACAAGGCTTCTGCTCCAAGGTCATTCTCATCTCCTCTCACATTGATTCATCTGTTTACCTCGAATGAATAGTGAGGCATCTGCTTTACCCAATACTTGTCACCTGGTGCACGATGCCCGCATTAGGCGGTGAGACTTCGGGCTGACTTGGAGGCACTCTGGGCCCGCTGAACCACTGCAGAACACTTCTCACGCCGCAGCAGCTTGTTGTTCTCAAACAGACCTTCATTGCGGGGTATTCCATGAGAACCGTCAGGGAAAGTCAGCAGGCCTTCAAGGGGGACAGAAGAAATATAAGAGTGACGATGGCATTAATGACTCAGATCACTTTGACAGGTAGAGGTCGAGAAAGAGAAAAACTCTCAGCCCTTCTCAGGAGCGCTCGCTCTGTTGGTAAGTTCAGTGAACAGATGCTAGGGCACCATCACTGTGGATTGCTGGGCATCCATGGAGGATTCAAACTGACAAGGTGTACTTTCACCCATATTTTGCTCAACTAAGTAATGCATCCTGCTGGGCTGCAACTTACCAAAACCATCTACTCTGCCATTTTTAAATTCCCCCTCAAAGGTCATGTTGTCGTGTCGAATGAAGACTCCAACACCATTAAACTTGCCCTGGGCAAACTCCCCCTCATACCTGCAGAAACACAAGATGTCAGCCTTTAGGGATGTAGTGAGCTGTCCAGGTTAACTGAATCAAGCAGCTACCAATACTTATTCCACTTATCTCAGAGCCCCACCCATCCTACTCCCAACCAGTAGAGAAGGGTCAGAGAGTCTGTATGATATGAGGCCTTAATCTCGGAGAAATAACAGAACAGCAGCAGGGTGGAATGTCACTCACGTCTTGCCATTTCAAATTTCAGATCTACTTATACAGTAACCAATAAGAGAACTAATACTTACTCTTTGCCTATTTCGGAGGGCCTGAGACAAGCTCAAGTTTGACCAGATATTTACCACTATTGTTTTTGGATCAGAGTCTCCCTAATTTAAGGCTGAGAGAGGAATGACCCAGTACCTACCTTGAGCCATCTGAGAAGGTCAGTACCCCAAAGCCATTAAAGAGCCCATTCTCGAAATGACCCAGGTAGGTGCCGCCATCTGCAAACATCAGTTGACCAAAACCATGTCTGCGGCCTGGGCAGAGAGAAGGACAAGTGTTAGGTTGGGCTGAGGCAGCTTCAGGGTCCCTTTTCACTAACATCACTTGTCTCCCATCACCGCACCCACAAAGGAAAGAAGAGAAACAATGACATTAGCAGGGCAGAGAACTATTACCGAGAGTCAGGACCAGAAAGACCTGGCTCCTGGGACCTTCCCACTTTAAGTCACAACTATTAGAATCAGACTTGGAGCAGGTCTCTCTAAGTATGAAAAATAAGAGAGCACTTAAAAATAGCAGTCTATAGCCATGCCACTCTGAATAAGCCTGATCCCGTCTGATTTCGGAAGCTAAGCAGAGTCAGGCCTGGTTAGCACTTGGTTGGGAGACCACTTAGGAAGACCAGGTGCTGTAGGTGTGAAAAAAAAAAATATATATATATATATAGCAGACAGTGCCTTTATTATGTGCCAGGCACTTTTCTAAGCACTTTGTATTCATCATCTTATTTAATCCTTATGACAGCCTTATGAGGTAGGCACAGTATTATTATGACTCCCATTTAACGAATGTGGAAACCAAGACAAACAGAAGCTAAATAACTTAAGATTCCAGAGCAATTAACTGGTAGAGCAAGAATGCAAACACAGGATGCAGTCTGACCTGAGAGCCCTCAACTACATTGCCATTCTGAGAAAAATAAAAGTATATCACTTAGCGTCATGAAGCTACTGTGCAAACCTAACAGCCAGACTGCCAACACTGGTTTGAGCTCTGTCATATCAGTAGCGCTAAGTTTACCCACAGAAATGACCGGAAAACAGCCAGATGCTGAAGGAGCAATAATGCTCTTCAAAGTAGAGGTAGTGGATAGAGACGCTCCTGTAAAGGTCATATTAAAGGAGAAAGCAGCTGTTTAGGAGGCAGGAGAAAAGGCTGGGATGTACAGAGGCAAGGTCACATCCCATATACAGAATTTCTTCTCTTGATGCTCAAGAATTCATCAGCTGCAGGATCTATCATTAAAAGACACATATTTGGAAGCAGTATGAAGTGCTCTTCAGTGGTACAACTGTGGAGTCGAGTCCCCTTAGGGAAGTTCCTGGCTTGCTAGGCCTGGACCCACAGGACTTTTAAGTGGCAGGACGTTTCCAAACTGAACATCATTAAACTACTTCCTATGTAGTCTCAGGCTTAGAAGAATTTTACCATTCCTATGAATAGATACTTCCAAATGTAATGAATTGTCATTTACTCTTGAGTGTCTGCCATAATTTCCTTAACTTCTTAAGATTCACCGGAATGAAAAAAAAAGATTCACTAGAATCAAGTCATTGTAATGAATTCTGTACTTTCTGATTTATGGGTACTAAAAATAATTCACTTTACTCTGCTGAGTACATCAGCATTTAGAAAAAAATTCCCCGAAACACCACTAAAAGATAAAAGGGTTAATATATTTAGAAGTGGAAAGATTTAACTTACTCCTGGAGGTTGGATTAATAATAGTATTTTCTAATTCCTTTATAATCCTAAAATTGAATAAAAGAAAGGCACTTTTCAGATTAAATCTTGGAGTTAGACATGAAGACTCATAAAGTTGGTTTATATATCCTGAGGTATTTGTCCTTTGGCCAAATGAAATGTTCATCACTGGATACCCCTCAAGGGTCCTCTCACCCTCTTTCCACTCGCCACGATATTCCTCTCCACTGGAGTAGGTAAAGGAACCTTTTGTCAGGGTCATGGTGACAGCTTACAGAAGGATGAAAACTGTAGGACACAAACAGAGGAGAACCAGTATCACAAGATGGCTGGATGAAGGCCTAAAAAACAACTCTACAGATATATTCTAAATGCTACTTGCCCGTGTCTTTTACCTTGAGTACATTTAATAAAACTACCCACCTCTCCAACCACCACCACCACCTCTGTCCAAGCAGTCTTATCCTCCCACTTGTCTTTGAAGGTTTAAGCCAGTTTCAACATTCTATGACCTGAGATAGAAATATAGGATTAATCTGCAAATATTTGTTTGATACCTGCTATACACTTAGTCAATGTGTAAAATATAGTCTTTTTCCTCAATGAGTTTATAATTTAGTTGATAAGACTAACAATCAAAACACTGTAAAATACCAGAGATAATATAATTAAGTACCAAAATGGATGGCAGAGATTAACAATGGGCAGAATTTAAAAATGAGCAGTGAAGAATACAAAGAGCAATTCCAGACTGAGAAAACATGGGGGGTGAAAGCACAAGGAGCAACATAAACATAGCATGTTCAAGGGGAATAAGAAGCTGGGTCTTGCTAGAGTTGAAGGTATATTTAGGGAGTAATAGAAAATAATTTTGTCTAGGTATACCTGGCTTCAATTTTAAATCTGAAAAGAATCTCTCAGATTTAATCCAAACTCTGTCACTTTATAGATGGAGGAACCGAAGCCCAGAGAGTTAAAAGCTAGTTGGTGATCGAGCTGGAACTAGTGCTCAGGCCTCCCCTGACTGCTGCTAGTTCTTTGCCCCCTGTATTATGCACTGCTTTTAGGGTTAGGTTAGCTTAAAGAGACCTTTGAGAGCTAGGCAGAAAAGTTTACAGCTGATAAGGTAGGTAAAGAGAAAGCCTCTTGGGATGTGTAAACAGGGATGCAATATGATGAAAGCAGAGTTTAAGGAAAAATCAATGTGGCAGTAGGAAGCAGGATGGGTTGGAGCAGTAAAAGCTTACAGCCAGAGAAGCTTGCAAGGTGGGAGATGTGATAATTCAGTAGACTGTGAAAATGAGCACAAATTATTCTCCCTCCATTCATGCCCCTGCAATGTGTCATGGCAGATCCTCCCATTATGAGGCAGTTTATTTATTCTTCCACCCATTGGATCTGGGTGGGTTACATAACTAATGGAATGTCAGCAAAGGTGGTGTACCAGAGGTTTGAAAAGCATTTATACCTTGGGCTTGCCCTCCTGCTGCACTTGGATCTGTTCTGTCCCCATGTGAACAAGCCCAGGCTAGCCTGCTAGATGGTGAGAGACCACATGGAACACTTGTCCCAGCTGATGACAGATGCATGGGTGAGCTCAGGCAAGACCATAAGACCTACCCCTCTGAGCCTGGCCTCAAATCATTGGCCCACAGACTCATGGATTAAAGAAAGGTTGTTGTTTTAAGCCACTATGTTTTGAAGTAGTATGTTATCATCTAGCAAAAGCTAACCGATACACCTAGGTATGAGGTCTTAAGGCCAGAACTGGGGGGATAACAGGGTAGTGGGAGCAAAAGGAATGTCTATGACAGATATATCATAGGAGAAAAACCACCACCACCACCCAATAACATTTGAAGACTGGCTAGATAAGGCTTCACATTAGTGGTAAAAGAATGCTTATATTCAAGGATATCCTATAAAAAGGAATTTAAGACACATGAAATATCATTAAAGAGACGAATAGAATCATTTGACATTAAAAGAATGCAACCCTATTTCCTTTTTTAATCCTCTAGCTTTTTAACTCACCTCTTCGTCTTTTCCAGATCTAAACAATACAATGTTTTCTCGAGTGATTATGACAATGCAGAGTCCTAGGCCTATACCCAGAACTAATGAATCAGAATTTTGTACAGTTCAAGTCTGAGAATCTGCAGTTTTAACAAGCATATCACTAGATTCTTACACACTTGAAAGTTTGTGGACTATTACTCCAATAAATGGAAATATTGTATATGAAGAGCTCGCTGACCAAAAATCACCATTGAAAGATCTCCTGTTATTAATAATTAACCTAAGTCTGACTCTCAGGACAAGTGTACCTCTTCTTCAGAGCACTAATCTAGAGGACAAGTTTTTTTAAACTCCTGTTAACGTGGTGCCAACTGCTAGCTTCCCTTTCCTTCAAGTCTCAGAGAAGCTCAATTATATACACAATGTTAAGGGTTGTACTGATGTCTCCATCATGAAGAATCAAGATGGGGTTACAAAGAGTAAGTGTCACTGTACAAGAGGGATCTGGCATAATTTATACAAAAATGCTTTTAATGTTCAACTAAAATAAGACATACATTTTTCTCCAGATTGTGGTGGTGGACAGTACTGAGTTATTTATACTCCAGGTCAACTAATGCAACCCTCTATAATCAACTGAGCTAGTCCCGGAAAAGCTATCTAAAATACCTTTATAATAGCAACTGACATTTATTGACTACTTATTGTATGCCATAATTCTTTTCAAAATATATTATCTAATTTCATCTCACAACTTTATGAAGCATTATTATTCTCACTTTATAGAGAAGGTGAGTTAACGAAGGTCACCCAGCTAACACATGCAAGTTAGAATCAGCTGGATCTAGGGCTCACACTCTTAAAACACTGTCTTATCCTCTCCTACCTAATACTGCCTTCCAGTATAATACAGTGGTGTTGTGGACTCAGTAGCACAAAG